AAGTAAGTAAGTAAGTAAATAAATAAATAAATAAATAAATAAATGGAAGAAATAAAACTCTCATTGTTACAGATGATGTGACTATGTACATAGAAAATCCAAAAGAATAAGCGGACAACCTGTCAGGGTTAACAAGTGAGTTTAGCAAGGCTGCTGGATATTCAATTAGAATAAAGAAAAAGAAAATCAACTTTGTTTCTATATTCCAACAACAAACAGATGGAAAAATTTTAAGTGACACCATTCACAGGAGCTTTGAAGCCGTCAAAAATTTAGGAATAGCCCTGGCCAGTGTGTCTCAGTGGTTAGAGCTTCAACCTGTGCACTGAAGAAGGATCGCGGGTTCAATTCCCAGTCAAGGGCATGTGCTTGGGTTTCAGGTTCGACCCCCTGCCCAGTCAGGGCGAGTGCAGGAGGCAACCAATTGATGTGTCTCTCTCATGTCAATCTCTCTCTCTCTCTCTGTGTCTCTCCCCCTCCCTTCCACTCTCTCTAAAAAAATCAATGGAAAAAATATTCTTGGTTGAGAATTAAAAAAAAATTTAAAATAATCCAGGTAAAACTATTTTTTAACGAAGGTGTGTTTTTAGTATAAAATCTTGTATTTCTTATATTGGTATGTCTATATAAATCAGTTACTCAGTATTGGAAGAAATTTCTAGTCAAAATTCTTAGTTCCTGTGTAAGCTGTGAACCACCATAAAGATGAAGTTACAGAGTTAGGAGCATGAAAGAAGTTGCTAATATAAAAATCCCTAGTTTCTCAGTGCTGATGTCTTAACATACCAAATTATACAAATTCTCTCATCACATACTTAGTCACTAATATTTTATTATTTACTTAAGTAAAAATTGAAACAATTTTAATTCTTAAAAGCCATATGTATCTCTTTTTAAATGTACATTTTATTTTGTGTCATATTTATATTCACTCAAAACTATAGTCACAGAACATTCTTCATGAAATAACTGTATTAAAGAATGAATGATACTTGAATGAATGGGGTGGCATAAAGAAAAGGATCTTGGTTTTATTTCATTTAAAAGCTAATGCAGGTAACAGAAACTTTATCCTAAAGTTACTGGATCAGGTATCTTCTTTTTTTCAGCACTTGCCATTCAGACTGTAATGACGTTTGGGGGCATCTTAACCTAAACAAGTACTTAGCATTACATCTCACCTGGGTCAACAGTCTAGGGTATCAAAGTTAAACTGTGTTACTGTAAATTAATGGAAAATGTAACTGCACTTTGCTGAAAGATCAATGTCCAATAAAGACTGCACAATCAAATCTTGTTGCAATGATTGAGGTCTTTAATTGCCTTTCAAAGATAAGGTGGTAATCAACACAGCTTTAACTGATCTTTTTTACTAGTTCAATTACATGCTAATGACCAGTGGCCAAGTCAGAATCTTTAACTACTTATACTTATTAAATCTTATGTTAGTAATGAAAAATTACTTTAGCTACACAATCGATAGAACACAAATCTTAATTACTATATTTCACTTTTTACCATTTTATGTGCTTGACAAATGTTTCACAAGAGCTTTCCCAACAATAAGAAGTATTATTATTGGTAGTGACCACAGTCCATAGAGTTATTTTTCTAATATAAAGTGGAAATCAGATGTTGAAATAGTTTTTTTCTTTAAATGAAAATGTGGCTAAAATAGTTTCAACTGACACAAGCTGGGTCATCCAGCTACTCAGAATTCTGTTCTAATTGACAGTGCATTTAATACAACTGGGATAAAATAAATCTAGATTGGTTTTAGTGTATTTCTAAAAGTTCAGTTAGTTTTCTAGTAAAGAAACTGATTTCATACAAAACCTAATATAAAATCCCCCTATTTTGGGAAAACATAAAAGTTCATAAAGGCAAATGATAAAAGAATTTTAAAAATGTACTTCATCAAAATTAAAAACTTGCACTTCAAAGAACACTATCAAGAAAATGAAAAGACACTGACAGAATGGGAGAAAATAATTTGCAAATCATGTGTCTGATAAGGGACTTGTAGCCAGAATATATAAAGAAAACTTATAACTCAACGATCCAATTTAAAAATAGACTTGGCCCAGCCGGGCATGGCTCAGCAGTTGAGCATCGACCTAGGATCCAGGAGATCAGGGTTCGATTCCGGGTCAGGGCACATGCCCGGGTTTCGGGCTGCAGCCAATCAATGACTCTCATCATTTTTGTTTCTATCTCTCTCTCTCCTTCTTCCTTCCTCTCTCTGAAATCAATAAAGATATATTTTAAAAAAATAGACTTGAACAGACACTTCTCCATGGAATTTATACAAATGGCTACCAAGCACATGAAAATATGTCCAACATTAACTATTAGTGAAATGCAAATCAAAACCACAATGAGATACCATTTCATATCCACTAGGATGGCTACAATAAAAAAAAGACATAACAAGTGTTGACAAGTGTGGAGAAATTGGAACCGTTATACATTGCCAATGGGAACACAAAATGGTGCAGCCACTTTGGGAAAATTTGGCAGTTAAATATTAAATATGGAGTTACCATAGACCTAGCAAATATACTCCTAGGTATATAATTTATTATGTGCTCTGATTGGAGATCAAACCCACAACCTTTCAGCTCTCTCCAGAGAACTGAAAACATATTCACACAAAAACTTGTGTACAAATGTTCAGAGTAGCATTTTTTCTAGCCAAAAAGTGGAAACCATTCAAATATCCATCAACTGACTAATTGAATAAATAAAATATGGCATATTCACACAATGGAATATTATTTGGCCAGAAAAAGGAATGAAGTACTGATACATGCTAGAGCACTGATGAAGCTTAAAAACATTATAAGTGAAAGAAGCCAGTTATAAAAGACTACTTATTGTGTGATTCCACTTATATGGAATGTCGAGAATAGGTAAATCTAGAGACAGAAAGTGGTTAGCAATTGCCTAATGCTGGAGAGGTTGGGAGGAAATGAGGAGTGACTGTTAATGGGCGTGGGTTTCTTTTTTGGGTGATGAAACTGTTCTAAAATTGATTGTGCTGATGGTTGCACAACTCTGACTATACTTGAGATATTGAATTGTACACTTTAGATGGAAATATTGTATGGTATGTGAATTATCTCTGAATAAAGCTGTTAAAAAACTAGTTGAGGGGGAAGGGAAATTGGCAGTTAGTGTTTAATGGGTATAGAGTTGCAATTTTGCAAGATGAAGAGAGTTCTGGAGATGGATGGCACTGATGGTTGCACAGCGATGTGAACATACTTAATACCGCTGGACGGTGCACTTTAAAATGGTTAGCACTGTAAATTTTGTGTTCTGTGATTCTTACCACAAATAAAAATAATTTTTAAAAAATTAGTAAAGGAGCCCTGGCTGTTTAGCTCAGTTGGTTAGAGTGTCGTCCCGATACACTAAGGTTGTGGGTTTAATCCCCAGTCAGGGTACATAATAAGAATCACCCAATGAATGCACAAATAAGTGGAATAATAAATTGATGTCTCTCTCTCTCCCCCCTTTCCTCTCTCTAAAGTCAATAATCTCTAAAATCAATTGAGGATTGATTAGTAAAGGATTAGTAAAGGATTCAATATTACTATATTAAAATATAACTATGATTTCTATAGAAAATAACTGACTTGGGAAAATGTTAGATAAGACGTGAATTTAACATCATTTTATATGTTGCAGTCTTGGAATTTTTAAAAAATTATTTATAAAACCTAGTTTTAATTAAGTAAAATAAACTTCATTTGGGATCATTTTTAGTAGCATTAAGAAAGGGATATACTTGGCTTGAGATAACTTAAGATAAGACCAAAGAAAAGCACATAACATGTTGGTAAATGAAAATATCCTTTTTTAGATCCTAGTTGCTGGATAAAGAATATCAGCTACTACTAAAATGAGGTTTTATATAGTATTGCTTATAGCTATTTTAGCTGCATTTATATCATTTTAAATACAGTTTATGAACATAGTACTACTCCATTATATTATTAATTTATCTTCAGAGATATTTATAGTACCAATTTAAAGGCTGTAAAACTTCATGAAAAGTAGCTTAAACACAAGGATTTTGATAAACAAAAGCTTTAAGTTTTTCAAAGCAAATCATGGAAGCTGTACTTCTTAAAGAAGATCTAAAGTTTTTTGTTGTTGTTGATGATAGAATTATGAACCTTATAAACTCAGTATTTTTTAGTTAACCTAAATACATAAATCTATTTGAATTCATTTTATGAAAAGAGATATGTCATTAGATATATGATCATTATATGCTTTAGTGATTCATGGACCTTGTTACATACATGCTTTGTAATGTATGAATTATTTAGTAAGAAAAATCACAATAATTTTGTTGTTACTCAAAAATTTATGGGTTGGCAGAAACAATTATGCAGCCCCTGAAGCTGGTATGTTAAGGTAACATCATTAATGCTACGTAGTATGATTTTTTTAGTAGTTATTTGACATAACCTTTACTGCTTCTGCTAGAATATATCAGTAATTTTACAGCAATCTGTCTATACACAGAACATTGAATTTATTAAACACAAAGTGAATCATTTTACTCTGTGTTAAGTGCATTATTTAAAATCATACCTAAAAAGTTGTTTATCCAAACCCCAAAGGAAGAATAAAAATATAAAAATCAATACTCTAATAAATAGATATCAATTTAAGGCTCCATTTAATGAAAGCAGATATTTTTTATTTCAAAAAAAGTAGATGTTTAAAAATTGGATGAAAATAACTCATGAAAGTAGGTTATCTTGTAAGCTTTCTTTATATGTGTTATTAAGGTGTTTACTGTGAGGTGAAGCCAAAATTTTATGTTTTCAAATCTCCAAATTGTATAAAGGAATCAAGAATTTGAAAGTTTGAATAAAAATTTAAATAGTGTCACTTAATTTTAGACTACATTTACAATCAACGTTCATTCATCCTACAAATACTTTTGCATTGACCATGTTGAAGGAAAATTTTAGTAATTTTACCTGTTCACAAAATCCAGCAGTTCTGAATCTACCTACAGAGTCCATACTGAAAAAGACTGCTGCTGTACACCGCTGGATAAGAACCATCTGTTACTAATTTGCGTGTGTTTCCACTACTGGTCATATAATGAAGGCTTTATGTCAAAAGAATGCGTGGTGATTCAAAATTAAAAAGAAAACTTGCCTTCATTTTTAAGAGATTTAAGAAAGGGAAACTTTAATTGGAGATTATATGCAGTCTTTAGAAGAAGAGCAACAAGTTTTGAAATACTATCTCAGATGTAATGGCTTGGCTTACACTGTTCTGTTTTCCGAAAAATAAAAGATTGGAATCTCAATGCATTATCCTTTTGAGGCATTGCAAAAGGTGCCATCTCTTTTCTTATACAGAAATTTGGTATTTTAAAGTAAAAAAGAATGATGTGTATACGTAAATGAAGTGAAACAAACAGAAAGTATGAGAATCAGACTTACTCTTTTTAAGCAGAACTAGAAACAATGTACCTAGGAGACAAGAAGGTTTTAACTGAGTTGGCAAAAAATAGAATGGGTTACTTCTTGAGGCAGTGAGTCCTATTGGAGCTGTTCAGAGAGGGTGCAGGAACATCTCCTTAGGTAGATAAGGGAGATAATTCTTGAATTGGGCAGAGGATTAGATTGGTGATTTTGTACATTTCCTTTAATCCTGCAATTTTATTGTCATTCTGGAATTTCTTTGCCTGAGTCCCAGTAATGCTACTTAGTGCGGTATTTATTGCTGTTCCATTATGTGTTTAAGGCAAAGAGCCTTGATTTGAAAATAAAAAATTTGGTTTAAGGTCTCTTGCTACACCATTACTGGTTGAATAACTTTCAAGAAAAATTAGAGCTTTCTAAGTCTTAATGTCTTCACATATACAATAAGGAGTTTATCTAACACATAGCATTTCTTTGTGTCTGGTTCTAGACTAAGAACTTTACACATATTAACTCACTTAATCCTCTCATAATGAAACTAGACAATAATGGGTCCAGACTGTCTGTCACCACTTGAGCCAATTAAGCAGAGTCAGGGTTGAATCCCATATGAGTGTTTATTCCAATATTGCTGGCAATATGGGAGAGAAGTAAAGGTCATCCACAAAAATCTGCTCTGCCACCCCCCCTAAGCCAGCTGCTTATCTCAGGTGTAAGGACAAAGATTACACGTGAAACTAAGAATTACAGGCATGGGGAAGTAGGCAATGGGGGCTGGGGATTGCAAAGGGTGGGTGCCTCCGGGATTCCATGGTTTCAGGAACAAGGTTGTTAATCTTTCCATGATGAAAAGCAGTTCTCGGAAAAGGAGAATGGGCGACATTCCAAGGGTAATTCCCTTGTCCCTGGGCACACAACTCCCAGCGATGTTAGAAAGTGCTTTTTCTAATTAGGACAGAACAATCACAGTTGACAGAACATGATTAATATTTCTTATAACTATAGCTAACAATCACGGTGAACAGAGCATGATCAACATCTCTGCCCCTAACAATAACAACCCTATGAATTAGGCACTATTTTATGTCCACTTTTTAGCTATGGAAACCAAGAAATCTTGTCCAAGGTCACACATGGTGTTACTCCAATCCCTGCAGTCTGTCTAAAGAGTCCATGTTCTTAACCATTACTCCATACTTTTCCATGATGCACAGGATAATTCTGTAAGATAAGAGATATGCGCTTTGCTAGCTGTAAAATGCCACAAAAATGTGAGATATTTTGTTGATATAAAGAAAATCATATAGATATGTCTAAACAATGAAAAGAGGGAAATAAGCTTAAGTGATTTGGGGGAACAGCAGCCTACTCCACCTAAAGGAAAATGTATTATGTGGAAATTAAATCTATTGACAATTTAAATTAATGAACTAATTCATTGTAAAGCATCTAAAACCCACAGTACCTGGCACATAGTAGGCTCTCCATGAATGTCTGTTGAACCGTCATTTCTGCCAGAATTGGTCCCACTGTTTTTTTTTTCTATTCCTGCCAAAACAGAAGAGAGCAGACTTTCCTGTCACACTTTCAGGGGTTCATGTCTAATCATTTTTGTCCATGCTTCTTCACATTCTTCTCTTAAAAAAACTAATAGATAACTAAGCATTGTGAGGAAAATGCTGATGTTTATTATTTGATTGTTATTGCTATTGTAAATTATATCTTTTTTTAAAATTAAAATTTTAAAGATATTATTGCTGGTGTGTAGAAGTGCAACTTTTTAAAAAAGTTTTTATTTTGGAATAGTTTTAGATTTACAGAGAGTATACATAGTACAGAGAGTTCCCATACACCATCACCCAGATTCCCCTAATATTATCATCTTACATAATCACTGTACATATATCAAAACCCAAAAGTCAACATTGGTACATTATTACTAACTAAACTTCAGACTTTATTCAGATTTCCCTAGTTTTTCACTACTGTCCTTTTTCTGCTCCAGGATTCCATTGAGGATCCGTCATTACATTTAATCATGTTTCCTTAGTCTCTTCTGGTCTGTTTTTTTTGTTTGTTTTTTTAATGACCTTGACAGTTTTGAGGAGTACTTGTCAGGTATTCTGTAGAATGTCTTCAATTTGGATCTTACTTTTTTCTCATGATGAGACTGGGTTTATGAATTTTGGGAAGAAGAGCAGGGAGGTCAAATGCCTTTCTTATTGCATCCTATTAGGCAGTACCTGATATCAGCACGACATAACTGGTGATGTTAACCTTGACCACTTGGGTAGGATGGTATCAGCCAGGTTTCTCCAATGGAAACTATTTCCATCCTCTATTTTTTAAAATCAATTAATCAACAAATATTTGAGTGGTATATGCAAGGGTCCACCTTCAGCACTGAAGGAGACAAGTGGAACTCTTGAACACAGGAGGCAGTCAACATCTTGTTATAAAATTTGCAGTTCAGTGGGAGTCTATAATAGTTGTCTCGGTCCTGGTGGTGGTGGAAAGACAAAGGAGCAAGTGAGGCTCAAGACAGGCAGGGGATGCACATGATAGTTACATTCCTCTTACTCAATCCACTTTGCCTTCAAAATTCACTCATTCATTCAACAAAAATTATTAAGGTGCCCACTGTGTGCCAGGTACTATCTTAGGTACTAGGAATATGGCAGTGAATAAACATACAGTTCCATCTTCTCAGGAAGTTATAGTTTAGTGGCAAAACAGACAAATGAGGAAACCATGTGGTATGCTCAACTAGGAATCATGCACAGTGTGCTTGTATCAGTGGAGTGGGTTTGGGGCTGCTTTGCAGTTTTCAATAGTATGTAAGGGGAAAGCCTTAGCACGAAGGTGACATTTAAGTCAAGACCTGCAAAATGTGAGGGAGTGAGCCATGTGGATATTGGGAGTAAGAGCAATCCAGGCAGAGGAAATGGCAAATGCAAAGGCCCTGAGGTAGAATTCCTGATATGTTCAAGGACCAGTGAGAGAAGGAGGCTGGTAAGAATGATGGAGAGTGGTAGGTCATGAGTCTTGAGAGTTCAGAAGTTGTGGAGTGCAGGAGGAGTGGAGTTTTGCAGGTCAAGGAAAGGAATTTAGTTCTTACTCTGCTCAAGTTAGGAGCCATCTGAAGAATTTCCACCAAAGGATTGACTTGATTTAACCCTGGAAAAGAGGTTGACAATAGACTGTTGAGAGGAGGGGCTAGGATGGAAACAGAAGATTAGGAGAGAAATATAGTAGTTTGGACTATAGCAGTGAAGTGGTGGGAAGGGGTCAGATTCTGCATAAAGGGTTCAAGATTGAGAGCAAGGTGAAAAGAGATGAAAGAAAACCTCTGAATTTATAAGTAGTAAAATGTAATTTTCCTCATTAAAAAAAATCACTTTACAACAACAAAAAGATAAATAACTGGATTTAAAAATGGGCAAAGGACTTGACAATTCTCCAAAGAAGATATACAAATGGTCAACAAGCATATGAAAGGATGCTCAACATCACTAATCACTAGGAAGACGCAAATCAAAACTTCACACCCACTAGAATGGCTACAATGGAAAATGTTAATACATGAAGAAATTGCAACACTGTGCACTGTTTGTGTGAATGTGCAGACATTGTGGAAAACAGTATGGAGGTTCCTCAAAAAGTTAAAACTATAATTACCACATAATCCAGCAATTCTACTTCTGGTTATATATCCAAAAGAATTGAAAGTATAAATTGAGTTGTTTTTTTCCAAAGCACTATGAATAAAAAAGCCGTTCTAACAAATCATAGATTCATAGAAAATCTCTATTTTGTGGTCTATTTTCTCTAATAATAGGAAATGAACTTTCAATAAAAAGTACATGGGGACCTTGAGCAAATGGTTTCCTTTTCACAGGACTGAAGTGCAGGTGGATAAGGACAATTCCTAGACTATCTGCAGGATCTGAGTAAATGAATTTCTACTTAAACTATTAATTTACAGTAACTATAAAGAAATCATTTATCTCCTACAATGGACTTTCAAATTAAATATAAGAGAAACGCAGGCAGAGAAAATATATGCAGAAAATTTTTTGGTATTATACTCAGGCTAACCAACATTTAAAATATTTTTTCTCTTGCATTAATTAACTATTTGACCGTTAGAGAGGGAAAACGACACTCTTCTACCACCGCTTTATACAGAATTCAACCCCCAAAGTAAAGGGATATGTGCTCCTTCATTAGAAACAGATAAAGGACAAGCCTACACTTTGCAATTTTTAAACAAAAGTTTGTACAGGCATTAACAAAATTAAGCACTTTAAAATCTGAGGTTAAGAAGGCACTTCAAAACAACCAAGGGTTATTGCTACTGCCTGTGATATCACCGGTTACGTAAACATTGCTATCTACTTGAAAATTTATGGATTAGACCGGATACTTTTGCAACAGTTTAATAAGAGAAGATGATGCCACTACTGCAGTTGTCTCCAGGCAGTTACGACTCTAAATTTCTTTCCAGTG